GACGTTGGCAGGTGGGCATTCCCTCCAGTGGCCATTGGAGTAAATGACCTCCATTTGTTTAATTATACATAGGGATTAAGGAGAGAGCGCAGGTAACTTTTTCTGTGGTTTTTACTTCATAGGAGAGCATTACTCAGTGCTTTCTTATGGACGTCTAGCGTCATCTGAGTGTGATTTCCACACTGAGAATCGCGGAAGCGGCCTCTAGTGGCTGTCAGGTACACAGCCATTAGAGGGTGGATTAAACCTCAATGTAAACATAGCAATTTCAGCTGCAGGGTTAAAACTAGGGGGGCCCGGCACCCAGGCCACTTCATTGAGCCGAAGGGGTCTGGGTGCCTATAGGGGTCCTAGAGTAAGGTTTATGACAACTATCCCCTAAATTTTTCCTAAATTATATTAATCTCAACTAGATGTAAGCCTATGTCATGGAGTACATTTCTTTTACTTATATTATTACGACATCAAGTGTAGCTCTATACATTTAGCCAACATGGTGTAGCGCTTTATTTAAAAACAAATGGAGGTTAAGTACCTTAACCCCTTAAGGGCACATGACATGTGTGACATGTCATGATTCCCTTTTATTCCAGAAGTTGGTCCTTAAGGAGTTAAAACAGTATAGCACAGTGGTAGTGGTATGTGTGATGAAATGCCTAAAAAGATGTAAAAAGTCCAATAGTGTAAAACTAAAAAACCAATATGAAGTACAAAGTATATATGAAACCACTCACATTCATTTGAGCTATAAACATAGCTCAAGGATGAATAGCCAGTAGGTCTGTTTAGGCAACCATCCCCTCCTTTATGTGTGATCCTTTCTTTTGTCCTATATATAGGCTCAAACAAAGAAGTTGCCATTCTAATAATTTAATATGTGTTATGCAGTGCCCGTGTGGTCTTAATTATATTGGTAAGACCACTAGAGCGCTGCACATCTGGATTGAGGAACACGGGAACATTTTAAAAGGGCTAGAGCAGAGGTAGTCAACCTTTTAATAACTACCGCCCAGTACCGCAGTGACTAATTTTATAGCAAAGTGCGATATTTTTTAAATTTTTCTTATAGAAAGGAGTTTGTTTTTTTAAATATGATTTAATTTTTTTCTATTTTCTATTCTATTTGTGTCTATGAGGTGCTGTTTGTGTGTCCGTTTGTGTGGGCGTGTGAAGGGTGTAGTGTGTGTGTGTCAGGGCTTACCTGAGTTGGGAGTCCGGCAGGCAGAGATATATGCTCACCCTTGCAAGTAAACACAGGCTGAGGTGGTCAGGTAAGAATTCACCTGGCCTATGAGTCAGTGCACGGGGGCTGTGCAGGCTAATTCTCCAAGTCGAAGTACAGGAACAGATAAAGCAGGAGAATCGTCGGGGGTAAGCCAGTGGTCAGAGGGTGCCAGAAGTCAGGATATACGGAGTAACAAGCCAAGGTCAGGAATCAACAGGAGCACACTGGAACACAAACAGCAATACTGAACCAGAGTCAATGAACCGACACTGCCCTCAGGGAGAGGCAGTGTTTTATACCTGTCTAATCAGTGATCAGCCACAGGTGAACCATGAGTGACAGGAGCAGTCTCAGGTAAATTCCAACCCCCAGTGCTGGATACAAGGCAAGATCCAAACTTCAGGCTATTACTCGAGCTGTATGGTGGCTCAGAAGAGAAACAGCGGGCCCAGGACCGCAAAGTACCCAGATTCAAATCCCTTATTGGGCACTTCTGGGGCGACCTCGTCTGGCAGTCTGGATGTCGTGGTGAGATCCGTGACAGTGTGAGACGTACAGTGTGTGTGAAGGGTGCAGTGTGTGAGGGGTAGTGTATATGAGGTGGCAGTGTGTGTGTGAGGGAGCATGGGGTCTATGCTGTGTGTAGGTGGGTGAGATGTGAAAATCTATCTTAATGTCCCCCCCTCCCTTCTTCTTACTTTTTATCAGGCGGGGAGAAGACATAATTCTGCAAGTCCTGGTGGCTGAATCTCCTGTCCTCCTGTGAGCACTGCACTGCCATGGTAAATCGCTTCGACCGGTTTACTCACGGGAGGAACACAGAGCCTCCCAGGTCCTTCCCTCCGCCTGCTGGAACTAACTGCCAGCGGGCTGGTGAGGGAGATCTTTGATCAACTCACCGCCCACAAGGACTTACAGCAAGGATGGCTCTGCCTGGGCCAGCAGGGGAGATAAAAGGATCTCCCATGCCAGCCTTGGTCCACGGCCATCGAGGCCCACTGGGCGTTTTCTGCAGAACCCACCACGCCCACCTGAAATCCCAAACCGCCCACTAGTGGGCAGTAGGGACCCCTGGGCTAGAGAATCATAGTGTACTATTGCACTACAAACAATGTCATAATGTCATAACAAATCACCGGCTGGCACTATTTTTATGGGATTGAAAAAAGTAGCAAGAGACTGGAGAGGGGGAAATTTCGATCTTAAATTAAGTAAAGAAGAAATGCAATGGATTTTTAAACTCAACACCCGTATCCCATATGGTCTTAAATCGGATTTTGAGATGTGTCATTTTTTTAAAGTAATGATTTTTGTTCCCCCATTATTATACATTTAAATAGCCATTTTATATATGATAACTTATTATTTATTTTTAGACTTTTATTTTTTTTTCCCCCTTTTTAGAATATATTTTAAATTTTTTCAGTATATTAAAGATTTTTAAGAATATATCTATTTTAATATGTATACATTTTTTTTACAACTTGATAAGATCATAATTGGACCTTCCCTCCCAGTCCATAGTTCCATATATACTTTGCACTTAGAAACATAGAAACAAAGAAACATAGAATGTGACGGCAGATAAGAACCATTCGGCCCATCTAGTCTGCCCAATTTTCTAAATACTTTCATTAGTCCCTGGCCTTATCTTATAACTAGGATAGCCTTATGCCGATCCCACGCATGCTTAAACTCCTTTACTGTGTCAACCTCTACCATTTAAGCTGGAAGGCTTTTCCATGCATTCACTACCCTCTCAGTAAAGTAATACTTCCTGATATTATTTTTAAACCTTTGCCCCTCTAATTTAAGACTAGGTCCTCTTGTTGTGGTAGTTTTTCTTCTTTTAAATATAGTCTCCTCCTCTACTGTGTTGATTCCCTTTATGTATTTAAATGTATCTATCATATCCCCCCTGTATCGTCTTTCCTCCAAGCTATACATGTTAAGTTCCTTTAACCTTTCCTGGTAAGTTTTATCCGGCAATCCATGAACCAGTTTAGTAGCCCTTCTCTTAACTCTCTCTAAAGTATCAATATCCTTCTGGAGATATGGTCTCCAGTACTGCGTACAATACTCCAAGTGAGGTCTCGCCAGTGTTCTGTACAATGGCATGGGTACTTCCCTCTTTCTACTGCTAATACCTTTCCCTATTCAACCAAGCATTCTGCTAGCATTTCCTGCTGATCTATTACATTGTCTGCCTACCTTTAAGTAATTTGAAATAATTACCCCTAAATCCCTTTCCTCAGATGTTGAGGTTAGGACTCTATCAAATATTCTGTACTCTGTACCTGGATTTTTACGTCCAAGATGCATTATCTTGCACTTATCCACATTAAATGTCAGTTGCCACAACTCTGACCATTTTTCTCATTTACCTAAATCATTTGCCATTTGGCCTATCCCTCCTGGAACATCAACCCTATAACATAGAAACATAGAAACATAGAAACATAGAAACATAGAATGTGACGGCAGATAAGAACCATTCGGCCCTTCTAGTCTGCCCAATTTTCTAAATACTTTCATTAGTCCCTAGTCTTATCTTATAGTTAGGATAGCCTTATGCCTATCCCACGCATGCTTAAACTCCTTTACTGTGTTAACCTCTACCACTTCAGCTGGAAGGCTATTCCATGCATCCACTACCCTCTCAGTAAAGTAATACTTCCTGATATTATTTTTAAACCTTTGTCCCTCTAATTTAAGACTATGTCCTCTTGTTGTGGTAGTTTTTCTTCTTTTAAATATAGTCTCCTCCTTTACTGTGTTGATTCCCTTTATATATTTAAATGTTTCTATCATATCCCCCCTGTCTCGTCTTTCCTCCAAGCTATACATGTTAAGATCCTTTAACCTTTCCTGGTAAGTTTTATCCCGCAATCCATGAACCAGTTTAGTAGCCCTTCTCTGAACCCTCTCTAAGGTATCAATATCCTTCTGAAGATACGGTCTCCAGTACTGTGTACAATACTCCAAGTGAGGTCTCACCAGTGTTCTGTACAATGGCATGAGCACTTCCCTCTTTCTACTGCTAATACCTCTCCCTATACAACCAAGCATTCTGCTAGCATTTCCTGCTGCTCTATTACATTGTCTGCCTACCTTTAAGTCATCAGAAATAATCACCCCTAAATCCCTTTCCTCATATGTTGAGGTTAGGACTCTATCAAATATTCTGTACTCTGCCCTTGGGTTTTTACGTCCAAGATGCATTATCTTGCACTTATCCACATTAAATGTCAGTTGCCACAATTCTGACCATTTTTCTAGTTTACCTAAATCATTTGTCATTTGGCTTATCCCTCCTGGAACATCAACCCTGTTACATATCTTAGTATCATCAGCAAAAAGACATACCTTACCATCAAGACCTTCTGCAATTCCACTAATAAAAATATTAAAGAGAATGGGTACAAGTACAGATCCCTGAGGTACCCCACTGGTAACTAGACCTTGCTTCGAATATACTCTGTTGACAACATCCCTCTGTTACCTGTCATTTAGCCAATGCCTAACCCATTCAACTATATTGGAATCCAAACTTAAAGATTGCAGTTTATTGATGAGCCTTCTATGTGGAACATTGTCAAAAGCCTTATGAAATCTAGGTAAGCAATGTCTACTGCACCACCCTGATATATTATTTTAGTTACCCAATCAAAAAAATCAATAAGATTAGTTTGGCATAATCTCCCTGAACCCATGTTGTCTCTGATCTTGAAATCCATGTGATTTTAGATGTTCAACAATCCTATCCTTTAACATGGTTTCCATTACTTTCCCCACTATCTTCCCCAGGCCTAAAATACTTTAAGAGATCCCTCTCTACATATATCAAAACAGAATGCACCTGTCATGGTTGATTATATATCTATTGCCTGTACTATGTTCAATTTTGTATGTATTGTGTATTAATATTGATTTTTGTATTTTAATGTACCCATATCAAAGCAATGTTTTGTGGACCCAGGATATACTTGAAAACGAGAGAAATCTCAATGTATCCTTCCTGGTAAAATATTTTATAAATAAATAAATAAATAAATAATGAAGTAAGGCTTACTGGCCTATAGTTGCCAGACTCCTCCCTACTACCTTTCTTATGAATGGGCACAATATTCGCTAACTTCCAATCTTCTGGGACTATTCCTGTTAACAATGATTGGTTAAATAAATCTGTCAATGATTTTGCTAGTACATCACTTAGCTTTTTTTTAATAACTTTGGGTGTATTCCATCAGGTCCCATTGACTTATTTGTCTTTACATTTGACAGTTGAAAAAAACCTCTTCCTCTGTAAACTCACATGAAACAAATGACTATTTGGTCCTCTTTCCTAGCTGAGGCCCCTTTCCTTCATTTTCATCTGCAAATACTGAACAAAAATATTCATTGAGGCAATCAGCTAGTCCTTTATCCTCTTCTCCATACCTTCCTTCTTTTGTTTTTTAATCTAACTAATCCTTGTTTTACTTTCCTTTTCTCATTTATGTATCTAAAAAATGTTTTGTCCCCTTTTTTTACTGACTGTGCTATTTTCGCTTCTGTGTGTGATTTGGAAGCTTTTATAACTTGCTTATCCTCTTTCTGCCTAATCTTATAGATCATTCTGTCTTCCTCACTCTGGGTTTTTTGTTCATAATTACTAAATGCTAACCTTTTGTTTACTATTTTGGCCACATCTGTGGAGTACCACAGTGGTTTCTTGAATTTTTTGCTTTTACTGACAAGCCTAATGCAATTTTCTGTTGCCTTCAGAAGTGCAAATTTTAAATAATCCCATTTCTCTTGGACTCCATTTAAATTGCTCCGGTCTGACTCGTGGAAACGTTGGGGACTATTTTTGTATTTGATGTTTGTACCCTCCTCTCTTATTTCCTGTTGTTTTTGGTATGTATCTTTTTGTTTATCAGAATATACAGGTATCTAATATACTGTTGCTCTGAATTAGTGGTTATACCACTTTAATTGGATCAATTTTTGATCAATACTGTTTTTTTTCCCTATTTTGACTTTACCTGCAATTATTGTTTGCATATTGGATAGAGAAGATTTAACATTTCCAATTCTTTAATATCTATGCTGATACCTGTTATACATGTGTTTTTTGTGTAATAAAGCTTTTTTGTATTTTACTCAGTTGTGCTTCTCCTTCTATTATGATTATGTAGCCTCTCCATTTGGAGAGATTACACATGGCGTTTTAGCAGCTCTATTATATCAAATTTGGTCGGAGCACTTGCATTGTATTTTATATACTGTAATTAGCACCAACCGGTATACTATTTTCCTTTTGCAGCTCTATACATTGTCCATCCGCATTATTATAAAAAGTATATAATACTATTTCACTGTTTTTAGTGCACCAACATTATAGCATTATTAAATAAACTGTAAAATTTTCAAGTCATCTTTAAAGTAAATCAATCAAGTGTTTTAAATGAATAGAAATATACTTGGCATTAGAAAATTTAAATGTGTTAACTGAATTGCAATGCATCTTGAAGTAGAATATTTTAAATTCGATGGGACATTCTCATATATACCTATGTTTACAAATACAGTCAAAATCAGGTAATTCCAACTGAATAAGCACAACTCGGTCAGTATCCTTCAGTGTCTTGTTTTGGATGTGCATATTTAAATAACACCGACCATATACTGGATTTGTCCTGGAAGGCAAATCAGGTAAATAAATTCACATTTTAAATCTGAACTATTTGACCCCTGGCAGTTAATTATTAAAAATCTCTCAGAATCACCCGGATTAAGCATGTTGTAGTTGGTCAGCTAGCTGGAGTCCAAAGAGCAAGAAGCAGAGAGGAAGAAGTATAGGAGATACAGAAATAGCACATCTCCTAGCAGAGTTCTCCCTGGTAGCAGCAAGACTGACACATACATTGGTGTACGCCTAGGCACAGGATGGGGCACTCTAATAGTAACATGCTAGTTCTTTACCCCTGCTCCCAACCATGGGGATATTAGGTAAATATTTTTGTGTGGTTGCTACAGACATTGTGACCTCCCAATGCAGTAGACACAAAGCTGTTTTCCTGGCACTATGGGTTTCTAAGGAGCCCCTCTCCCTCGTGCCATGGCTACCATGGGGCTGAAGGGCTTAAAACCTCTTCAGCTATTTACCTGAATCCAACATCAGCCGGCGGGGTAGACCTAATGCACATGCGCTGCAATGGCCACGCTCGCATTAGGATTTCCACATTCTAAAGCATAATGTAATGCTTTCCTATGGGGAAAATCTGATGATGGAGGTCTTCATGCATAGGTTGCAGAGCATGAGGACCTCCCGCGTCAGAAAATGGGCCAAAGGTCTGTTTCGATTCCGGAAGCACCCCCAGTAGCTATCTGGTAGACAGCCACTGAAGGCAAACTTAGAGCAGTAATGTAAACATTGCAGTTCTCTGGAACTGCAATGTTTTACATTGCAGCACTAAGTGCAATAGGGACACAGCACCAAGACCACTTCAATTAGCTGAAGTGGTCTGGGTGCCTATAGTGTCCCTTAAGGATAAGAGTGACTTCCGATGTGTCGGAACAGATTAGCTGATTACACCACTGGATGTGGTTTTTGCTAAATTTCTACTGAAATCCTGGCACAGAGCACCATCCTTCGTAAATGCTCAAGATCTTCAATCCTATTCTACTAGCCAATTAAAGGACTCTTCATCGAACAATATACCTCCCAATAACAACCAGTTTAGCTCCTCCCATCACATAAAGTTATTATATCTACCTCATGTTGGTTTCTCTTCTAGACATGAAATTAGCTTGTTTTCCCTGAAAAGTAACACACAGAATAAGAATGTCTAACCTAACTATACTACAAATCATGAGAAACAGATTAAGGTGAACAAACCGAGACATGAAGAACCAAGCCCAATGAGTTTACAGTCTACTCAGAATAAGAAATTAACTGAATGCACTGTTTAATTTCAGACAGCTTGTGATCTGTATAACTGGGGTTTACATACTTTAAAAGATAGCATATTTGAAAGCTTGTATTAAATAAATTGCCTTTGACTTTCACCCACATTCTAACATTTGGTCTATTAAGAATTGAAAAGGATTTTTTCCTTTCTGGAAAATGGACAGAAAAAATAGAATTTTGTGTTTGTGGCCAAATAGATTACACTAGCTACAAACTGAGAATGCGGATTAGTTGAGAAGAAACAGTTTGCAGTGTTTTCAGAAAAATGAGACAATGAGGAAATTTTGAAAACAATCCAAACGATAACTAACTTGGAATAGTTACCATTTTTTTGTAATTTAACCCAATTCTAAACCTATATTTATAAAATGTTTTGGAATATATATATATATATATATATATATATATATATATGTATATATATTTGTAGTCGGGCAATCTAGCCGTGATAATAGTGTAACATAGCATATTATAACCAATAGACATATTCAAATGACACCAGTCGGTTGTGGTTTGCCGGAACCGACAGAGCAGTAGGCCTGTAATAAAAGTGGGTCCACCTTAGAGGGTGATATGAATAGAGGGAGCAGTGGGAGGGGTGATTCGCCAGCCTGTCCATGGTAAGGTGGGAGAGGATTGGCCGCCCTTTTAAATGGAATTCAAGCCCCTCCCACAACTACAGGCCAAGGCCTTACATTTGTAGTCGGGGCAATCTAGCCGTGATAATAGTGTAACATAGCATATTATAACCAATAGATATATTTAAATGACACCAGTCGGCTGTGGTGTGCCAGAACCGACAGAGCAGTAGGCCTGTAATAAAAGTGGTCAAAAAGAAGAATACCATACAAAATTAATCATATAACAACCATCGTTTATTTGGACAAGTCACGAAAAGCTTGTATTACCTCTTTAACTGGATTCGGAATGTAAAGAGTATAGGTAGAGAACCTCCAGCGTCCCATAGCCCTGATGACATGAGCTGGAATGTGCTTGGAGGAAGCTGAGAATGCTGCCCCTATGCGGAAGGAGTGTCCTGATGAAAGGTTTGTATTAGGCCGAGCCTAGTTCACAGTAAGTGAACATGAAGCATGACTTAAGATGCTGTAAGAATGGAGCCATGAAGTTCTGATAAGGTTGGAGTGGTTGTATCTGTAAAGTGGTGCAATAAGTATCCCGAACTTTACCGGGCACCATTGTTTAGAGTAGGTAATGGGGTATGGTGACTGTATGGGCTATAGGGATAGATATAAACTGATGCAGAGATAGGACTTAATGGTCTAAAGTGTCTGGATATCAGTCGTTCCCAGGTATTCAGTGGTAGATATATTCTGAGTGGTAAATGCATGGGACGTAAGAACCCATAGCATGCTAGATGTATGGCGGTTTGATTGTCGTATGGACATGTGCTCAACATGAGCTGAATCTACCAAGTCGGATAGTGAATGAAATATGCCATGTGGATGGTAACCTTTGAGATGGTACGTGTGTCTTGGATTTTGAATTCCTTTCAGTAGGTCTTTATGAGATAAGATGAACGGAATCCTGTATTGTTGGGGTGTTGTAGGAGCATGTGGTGTTTGATATAGGGTACCGTTTAATTGTGTTAAATGATAATTTAAGTAAAGGTGGCAAAAGAAGTGAACCACAAAGTAGATTCCATAGCAAACATGACAAGAACTTGAAACCCCACTATAGTAAAATATGTGAACACCCTATCGTATAATTACCTAGTGTTGACTGAAATTGTAAGGTGAGACATGTGGCTTGCAAGGGTAAACCATACATATAATCCCTAAGCATGTCTTGGAATGGCGGGGCAGGTTATCTAGCCTGGAAGAGGTGGGCAGTGTCTGGCCGAAAGCCTGAAATGAAACCCATGGAAGTGGTCAGCTAAGATGTTTGCGAAACCCGGTACGTGAATACCTGTGATAAGATTTGCAAATGGCTACCCATGTGAGTTTCCTCAATTGTCTCCTGATGACCAGAGATGAAGATCGGCCTATATGCACAATGGTTAAGTGTATGTGAATAACATCCAA